TACCCAAAGTTGAACATCATAAAAATGATTCCCCCAATCATCACATCACAAAAATGAGTATTTCCAATAATACATTATGTTTCTATTGATGAAATAATTTCCTGCTAATCCACTAATAATTTTCTACTAACTCCTAATCCTTTCCCCCCCTCTGCTCCCTAACACTCAAGCAAGTTCTATAGTCATCCAAATATATAAAATAGAAGTTATCAGTATCACCTACCCCCATCAACAATAGTCAGATCATTCCAGTGTAAACCAGAACATTTAAAGAGTGGATTAGTCCACTCCTTCCAAGAAAATACAGGCTTACGCAGAACAAGATCCCATGCATCCATCAAATTATCTTCTTCCCAAACAAGATAGACACTTCCATTACTCCTCATCAAGAAATAGACCCTTACAAGGAGATCCCTTTTCTACAATAGGCTCTCAACATTACCCCCCTTGACAAAGACAGTGCTTTCCCCCCAGTTTTGCATGAAACGAGCCATTGCCTACTTGTTCTTCCAGCGAGATCTCAGCCATCAACTTTCCACCACTACCACCTCCCCCGCCAATCCCCCATCCCTCATCTCTGACAATGACATCTCCTACCCTGGAACCTTGCTGGGACAGACCTGAGACTACCATGACCCAAGGAATTCTGGGAGTTGTAATTTTGTCTCCCTGCCACCGAAGGGTGGAGCATAGGTCTCTTCCAGTAGGACAGGCTGCGCGTACCTGGGCGTCCTGGTAGCCCTGGAGCAGCAAGAAGTAGGGACGGTTGCTGGGGGCCTGGATGAGGCATTGGGTCAACTGATCGAAGTCGCCAGGGTCCGCTGGTCCGATCTGGGCGTCTGCTGCCCCCGGGGCCATGCTAAGTGCCTGCTGCCGGCGCTCCTGCTGCCGCCGCCGCCGCCCCTGCAGGCTGAGCTCCGACACGCTGCGCCGCAGGGATAGGTTTTCCGAGCGCTCTTTGCCCCCGGACCCAGCCGGGGGCCCTGACCCCGACCCCGGGCCGGGACTGGCCAGCGCTGCCCCGCCAGACGCCGCCCGGGTGCGGTTCTTCTGTGGCCGCCACGAGGGAGCACCCGTGCCTGCGGAGAGATACAGAGGGATGAGGCCGAGACTCGAAAGAGAGGCAGGCTCCGAGAGCTGGAGATTATAAAGAGACAAAGAATTGACTACAGAGAAGTGAGGCGGCTTCCCACATTTAGGTTTTTGCATATGCTCTTCCCTGTACCTGGAACACACTTTCTGCCTGACTCCTACCCACCTCGCAGTTTTCAGCTCAGAAATTCATTCTTTTAACTGTTTTTTTGGGGGACACCTACTGCTGCACCGTACTTGGGGCTTTGTCTGGACCCAGCAGAGCCCTGGCACATAGTGGGGGATTAGTGGAAATGAGCTCAAGGAATGAACTGATGTGTTTCTCACTAGGCTGTAAAATCTAGGAGGGTGGGAACCTCACCTGTCATGTGCTCACTGTATTTCCCCACGGCCCTGAATAATGTGTGGCCCACAGTAAGCACTCAACGAATGCTTTTGGGGGGGGGGGGAAGACAGCGATGGTTATAATTGCCATTCTTTATTAGGTAACTACTATGTGCCAAGTCTTGTGCTAAAGCCCTGTTATACATGATCTCATTTCACCTTCACCTAGGGTTTTGCTCAGTGTAACTGGCAAAGGACAGATTGGAATCCAAGCCAGAGTTCAAAGCTCATGAGTTTAACTACTACACCACTCTATTTCCCAAAGGGAGACTCAGAAACAGAAAAGGGTTAGAAGGCTACCTGAGCGGCCCGTGGCCCTGAGCCAGGCCCCATCCCTGCCAGGCCCTGCTCCACACGCACTATTCCACCAAGGGCATCACCTCCTGTTCCAGGCCCGGCCTTCTCCAAGACCAGTCCAGCACGTAAGCACGACCTTCTTCGGCCTCTACAAATACTCTTCCTCTTCATTTCCCTTGAGCCACCCTCAAGTCTCCCATCCACACTCTGCGGCCAACCTAGGCCTAGGGCCACCGGCTCCAAGGCCAGCTCCCCTGAAGCTCCGCCCATCCTTAGGCCCCGATCAGGCAGACCATTTCTTCACTTGCCAAGTCCCTTCCCCTTATACGCTTAATCTACATAGGACCGGTCCCTCACGAACCCCTTTAACCTATTGCTCGGAGAGGCCTCCTGCCACAGGGGCCAGCGCCACCACTCAACACCTCTGGCTCCGGGTTACTCTCTTCCGCAGGCCCCGCCCCAGCATCCCAGGCCCCGCCCATCGGCTCCGCAAAACCTCTGGCCTGACCCATCTTGACGAGCCGGGCCCGGCCCCAACCCCACTCTCCACTAGACACGGTGCTCTAGGTCCCTCCCAGGCCCCATCTCCCCCGCGCCCCCGCCTCCAGCCTACCACTGGTCCCTTCAGCCCCGCCCCGGCCCCGCCTCCCCGTAGGTCCCGCCTCCAGGGCAGGCCCCGCCCCGTCCGCAAAGCCCCGCCCCCAGAGTCCGCCGGCCTGCTCACCGTCGCTGTCCGCCGCCCCGAAGGCCTCCTGCTCCAGGCGGCGCGCCTCCTCGCGGCCGCGCAGCTCGAAACGCCGCGCCCAGCCGGGCCGCGCTCGCCACAGCTCCTGCACCAGCAGCGGCCGCTCCGAGTCGCCCAGCACGCGCAGGTGCTCCGCCCGCCACTCGCCGCTGCCCACACCGCCCGCCGCGGGCCGGCCCAGCGCGTCGCACAGCGCGAAGGCGTCCACGCAGCTGCTCTCGCCCGGGCTGCCGCCGGGGCTGCCCGCCAGCCCGTAGCGCTCCAGCGCCTCGGCCACCAGCTCGCGTGCCGTGGAGCGCGCAGTGGCCAGCACGCTCTTGTAGTTGGCGCCCGACGCCAGCCCGGCGCCGAATATCTTGAGGACCCCCGGGGGCGCCGTGGCGCGCGTGACCAGCGGGGGCTCGGGGGCCACGCCCGCCGCCAGCTCCGGCAGCTTCTTCTCGCTGGCCCAGCGCTGGGCGCCCCCCGGAGTCCCGGGGCCTCCCGCGCCGCCGGACCCCGTGGCCCCGGTCCCCGAGCCCCGAAAGAGCTGGGAGATGCGCTTGGCGCGACTCCCCGAGGCTCCCCCGGCCGCCTTGACCGCGCCCACTCGCCGCAACTCCACGTGCGGCGGCGGCGGGGGCAGCGGCTCGCTACTGCGACTCCCCGTGTCCGAAGACGACGACCTGGGAGCCCGCCGGGGAGTGGAGAGGCGGGAGAAAGACCCAGAAAGACAGGCAGAGAGGGGAGTAGATGGTAGAGAAGGAAGGAGGTGGGAAAGACCCAGATGGAGGGGACAGAGACCCAGGGAGGAAGAGATCGGGGACAGACACCCAGAGAGTGACAGAGACCCATTGAGAGGGGACAGAGAACCAGATAGAAAGGGCAACAAAAACCCGGAGAAAGAGAGGGACGGAGGCCCAGAGAAAGAGGGAGACGGGAGACAGAGACCCACAGAAGGGAGAGAGATGCGGGGGCGGGGGGGGGGGGAACGACAGAGATGGAGTTGGGCAGAGGCCAGAGGCAAAGAGAGAGAGATAAATACATAAATAAAGGCGAGTCCCCCAGAAGGAAATTCCAAGAAGTAAGCAGGGAGGGGAGGAAGGAAGGTGAATCAAACCCCTGCCCCTGTGTCCCCATCCCGTTGTCCACCCAGCCTAACCCCACCTCCAGACCCAGCGCTCCCCACACTGGGCCTGAAGGCACTGTGGCCCGCTGTCTCCTGCCTGCTAGCTCACTTGCCCACTCAGGACAGGAACTGGAAGCCAATCCTTGGGGCCCCTGGCATTACCCAGTGCAGAGACTGGGTCATAAACGGGGACAAATGGGAAGCAGATGGGGCAAGGGCGGGAGTCTCAAGGGGGTGAGCACTCACTTAACAGAGGCAGCGCTGGGCCAGCGCCGCCCCAACTTGGCCAGCTGCTTCCTGGGAGAATTGATCCACAGGCCCACGGGGAGATGGAGCTTCCCGAAGCGGGGGCTTCCGCCCTCCTTCCGGTCACCAGATAGCATGGCCCTAAGGAAGGGTGGGTAAGACCCCAACTCCTGAGGCCCTGAGTGGCGGGGTTGGGATGGAGGGGGACTCCTCAGTCAGAGAGGGGGGCTGGGGCTCAGACTTCTGAGTCCAGAGTGGAGGAGAAGGATGGGAGCCTAGACTCCTGGGTGCTGGGATGGGAGGTGGCTGGGGACTGGCTCCCGGGGTCTGGACTTCTGGGTCCCTGGCTCTTACCCTGCTTCAGGTCCCAGCAGCACCCCGGGGCCCTGGCTCCGTTGGCCCTGGTTGGTTCCTGACCCTGCTGCTCCTGTTCAGCCTTTGCCTCTGCCCCAGCTCCCAGCACTGGGTGGGGGACAGGAAAAGGCGAGAGGAAACCCGGCAGGAAGAGCGGGGAGGGGGCGTCCTGTGAGGGGACTGGGCCTGGGGGAGGAGATCTGGGTAGGGCTGGCCTTTCCCTGCTCCTTGATTCTGGAATTACATCTCAGCCGGTTGGGCCCTTCCAGGACTCCGGAGCCAGCTTCCCGGCCCCTCCTGCCAGACCTCTCCTCTGGGGAAACCAAAAATTAGGATCAGACCAGAGGAATGAGTCAGATATTTATTTAGACGACCAGATAAATCTTTATTTCGGCCCTGGTGGTGTGTCTTTTTCCTTTGGAACCTGGGGCTGCTTGTCAGGCTCCTTCTTGCTGTCGAAACAGGACTTGATGGAATTGATCACCTTCTCAGGTCGAAAGCAAAGTATCCTGGGGGGCGGGTGGGGTGCAAATAGCGGAACCAGATTAGGTCCTAACTGAGTGAGGGACACCCCTCCCAGCCTCCCTATATTTGATCTAATTCTAGCAGTGACCCAAGCTTAATCCACCTACGTAAGGCCCACCCTGTTTTCTAAGCCCCATCCCCAACGGAAGTACAGCTCTCAGTATTTCCCTAGCTCCCAGACCCCCTCCTGCGGTAGGAAGTTGGAAATCCCGCCCCTTGCTCCAAGCCCTGCCTTCTTCAGTGGGCGGCTCACGCGGTCGTAAAGCCGATTATCAGCACCACAAAGCCCCAGATCAGCAGTCCTATCAGACGGCCTCTCAGCACGTTCTCAGACTTCGGACACTGCGTCGGCGTAGGCTGGATGCTTGAATCCCCCTGACCTGGGGCCTCCCCACCCTGGCTGATGTTTGACGGTAGCTCTTCAGAGATCCTTTTGGGCAGCACTGATAGAAGAGAGGGAAGGAGCAGTCCTGGGAGGGCATGAAGGTCCCGCCCTGGCCAAGGCAAGCTCGCTCCACTCCAGCCTGCCCCAAGACCCAGGCCTTGCGGGAGAGAATCACGCCGCTAAGTACGTGAAGCCCTGCCACAGGGGCGGGAGGACCACACCCAGGGCACGAAGCCACACCCTCGTGGCCTGAAACCACACCCCAACAGAAAGTTAAGCCCCGCAGACCACGCCCCTGAAGCTGACTGCCTCCACCCCCAGGACCCTGAATCCCACACTACCGTCCAGTCCCTAGCACTAACCTTTGACTTCATATAAGATGATCGTGGCTGGGATGGATCGCACACTGTCCAAACTGCAGCGGTAGACACCTGCATCCTCTGCAGTCACCGCGGTCTTGATCAGGGTGGGATTTTTCCCCTTGTACAGCAAGGTCTCAGAATCTCTCCCCCAAACCTAGACCCAAGCTCAAGGGGTCACAGAGGCCTGGGGAATTCAGGGTTTGGGGTTCGTACAGGGGTGAGATCATCACGGGCCTCATGGTGGGGGACACGGGAGTCCAGGGTGTACTGGTCAAGACATGGGGTCCCCGGGGATCAGTAGAAGCCAAACCTGGGTAGGTCATGGGTCATGGGGATTGTGGGTGCAAACCTGTGGATACAGGGATCAGGGGGTTCACACAAGCCTGATGGGCTTGGGGTTCAAGGGTTACAGGACTTAGAGGGCCCCACCCTGAAAAAGTTGTAATCGGTCAGGCCTTGAGAGAGTCGATGCCAGTTGAGCTCACAGTTCAGGATCAAGTCTTCCATTTCATGGACTATGACTGGGCGCACTGGGGATAGGGGATTACGGTGGGATGCTTCTTCAAAGTTCGGACCCTTCCTCAACTCCCTCCCACTTGGTCTCGGCCCCGCCTTTTCTCTCCTGCCGGCTCCAGGCTCCGCCCTCTCTAGATTCAGTCTCTCCTCGAGCTCCGCCCCTTTCGCGCCGACCACCCCCCCCCCCCCCCCCCCCGCCCCGCCGGCCCCAGCTCTCTCACCCCCGCAATCAGAGTTCTTTCGACAAGTGTGAACCTGCTTCTGGCAGGTATTGCACCAGATCAGACTCTGCAACATCATACCTGAAGGGACAGGATCAACGCTGTATTCGCCCTGAGAGGCGAGGCTTAAAGGGGAGGGCAGAGTCAAGGACTGGGGCGGGGTCAGGGGCCCAATCCCTAGGAGGTCAGCCCAAGGGGCGGGGGTAGAAGGCAGCCCCGCAGGAAGAGGGATGGAACCAGGCTCGGTAAAGAGAACAAATAGAATATGATGCGCTCCCGAGTAAGTCCGCAGTGCAGAAGGAATGTGGAACCTCTCAGACGTGGAGAATGAAGAAACAGCGAGACCCAAAGGGGGAGGAGAACGGCTGGGTATTAACGGGGCGACCATGAGGGATAGAGGACCAGCTCCCATAACCCGGACTCACCACATTTGTTGGGACAAAAAGCTGCCTCAGAAGAAAGAAAGAAAAAAAATGATTATCAGATTTCTAAGTTAAAGGAGTGAGAAAGGGCAAGGGAATAGGTTTCGGTTTGGGCTCTTGGGTTTGAGGGAGGAAGGACCCAGGTGCCTGGATCCCTGGGTCCAAGGGAGGGTGGAGCTGGGAGAGCTGAGGGGCTGGACCTGGAGAAGCAGGGGGCTGGGGTCAGGGACTCTGGGACTGTTGAAGAAAGGGGCTGTGGTCCCTGACGGACTCCCATCTTCCCTCACCCTCTTTTTGGAACTGAGCTGCAAAGCGGGCAAACATATCCTTTTGCAGGTGCAACATCCAGTACAGCTCCTTCACGAAAAGTTCACCTGGGAAGGAGCAGGGTGACACACAGTGCTTCCCCTCTCCGTCACTCATCCCAGGAGTGAGGTACAGGAAGTCTGCTTCTGTCGGAAGAGCCTGGCATTCCACTTTGGGGTCTTCTCCCGGAGGGACAATGAAATTGACTGACCACTTAACATAATGCTGGCCACTGAGCTAAGGGACAGCTGGGACTGTTCTGATCTTCATTTTAGAAGTGACAAAGCTGCGAAATCCCTCACTCAAGGCCACACGGTTAGGAGATGGCAGAGCCGGAATCTGAATCTAGGCAGTTTGGCTCCAGAGCCACTACCAGACCAGTTGTCACCAACTATCACTTCTCCGGAAGATTCTGGAGCCCCTCCGCTGGCCCCTCTGTGCATTTACCTTTTACATTACTGTCTGTGATACGTTTCAAATCCTTCAGGAAACTCCAGGATGCCTTTTCCAGTGTGGGCTTATCTGGAGGGGTGGGAGGTGGGGATGCAGGGAGGGAGAGATAGAACTCCAGATTCCAAGCCTTACCGCCTCATTGGCTCGCCTATTCTTAGAAACTACAATACCGGGTGCCTGGGTGGCTCAGTTGGTTAAACGACTGCCTTTGGCTCAGGTCATGATCCTGGAGTCCCGGGATTGAGTCCCGCGTCAGGCTCCCTGCTCGGCAGGGAGTCAGCTTCTCTATCTGACTCTCCTCCCTCTCATGCTCTCTCTCTATCATTCTCGCTCAATAAATAAAAATCCTTAAAAAAAAAAAGAAACTACAATACCCATGAGGCTACTGGGCAAGGATAAGCCTGGTAAAGGGATTGTCCGCCCGTTGCCTTCTGGGAGTTGTAGTTTTTTTTTTTAACACAAACTTCCAGGCTAAGCGATGGGGAACACAGTATTTACTACCTTGGGTAAGGCCCAGAATCTGCATTCCAGCCTTCTACATTCCCGAACCCAGTAGACTCTGCCTCCATCCCTGCCCTCCCTGCCCCCGCCCCCGCCCCCAGCAATCCTAGCGACAGATCCCTCCTTTGCCAGGACTCAGGATTTCCACACTCTTCCCTGCCCTCACCGACAACCCCCATATAGGAATCCTCTTCAATTGGCAGGTCCTTGAAATCCATCACGGTTTGTTTTACCCTTTGCATAAAGCTTTGGCGACGATCGGCCGCCAGATGGCCAGGCAGGTAATCCGTCTCCAAGGATTTTAGCGCCTCCACGACCTTTGCAGCACATAGGATACAGCCCCGGGCAGGAAGCAGGCAGCCGGCCAGCGCCGCCACCAGGAGGGGAAGTTGCGGACCCATTGCGGCCAGAGCGCTCAGTCCGCACAGGGGGAGGGGGAAGGGGAAGGGGTCCTTTCGCCCCAAACGTTCACGCTAAGCGGAGAGAAACCCTTCCCCGACACTAAGCCCCCCAATTTGCAGGACGCACACTTCTCGGTTAGGAAACCGAGGTGTCCGGAGACCCGATGCGCCCGCAACAGCCGCTGCCCGACCTTGACCTTGAATGTTGTACCCTCAAATACTAGGGTCCGCTGAAGAGCCGAATCCAGGCTGAGGGCTTTTAGAGAGGATGAGCAGGCCACGTCCTTCCACTCTGCTATTTTCCCACGACTAAAATTAAGGATTTTGTTGGGGGCGAGGGTGAGATCGGTCGCGTGATATGGAGAGCTTTCTGACTGGAGTCACAGTCACCGTTCGCCCCGGTCTGGGAGGAATTCCCACAGCTTCCCCCTTCTAGCTTCCCACGTGCGGCCCCAACTCCCCAAAAGATACTCCCTGGGAGTTTTCTCGGCCCCGCCCACAAGCCCAACGCTGAGTCTGATTGGACCGCAACAAAGGAAGACTCCTCCTATCGTTCCATGATATCACAAGAGGTGGCCGTCCTTTCAGACCAGAATTTTCCCAGCGTCTACCGAAAGGAAAGTTATCTTGTCCCCTCCGGCTTCTAAAGCCAAGGAAAGGGCTTCTGGGCTTCAGCTTCCTCCCGTCCCCGGATCCAGGCTTCCGGCTAGGTGCACGTGGCCTTTTGGAAACTTGGGAGTCGAGCCACGAAGATGAGGGAAGTGGCCCTTTCTAGCCCTAGGACTACGACTCCCAGGAGGACCTGGGGCCTCTCCCTGGCCAGCCAGATGGCTATATGGGAAATGTAGTGCCAGAGTTACACACTTTGCTCACTCCCCCCACCTTCTCTCCCTAGCCCAAGAGGCTTGATGCCAAGGTTCGAGAGGAAAGAGGCCTAGAGCCAATACTGAGAAACTGGGGCTCTACAGGTCCTGGAAGTTCTCTCCTTTTCTGCATCATTGAAACAGGCCACCAGAAAAACAGGCAGCACTACTCACCCAACTCTGAGAACAAGAGGCTGCCAGATCTGAGCAGAACAATACCCCTAGACATGAATAATGAGTCCCTGGCAGTTCCAAACCTTTCCTCCTCTACACACACACACACACACACACACACACACACACACACACACACACGACTCCAAAAAACCTGCAGACACAGGAGTTGGCGATGTGGACTTTTAATTCATACCTCCCTCTTCCCCACCTGGAGCAGCTGAATAGGGAATGATCCCTCAAAACTCCCTGAGAAGACTAAAAAAGGGGTCTGCATTCTTCTGGGTAAACAGGAGATGCAATCAGAGTTGTCTGCAATAAAGCTAGCTAGCCACCTTCACCCCCTTCATAAAGCCTCAAGGGGTTCCTGAAATCTGAGTCCAGAATCCCATCCTCCTTGGCCAAACCCTGTGCTCCTTTCTGCCTGGGTTTGAGAACAGTCTGGAGTCTGAATATCCTCAGATTCTTTCAAACCCGAAGCCAGATTTAGTGGTTCTGTGAAATCGGGGGCAGACAGGGGTTGGCAAGGGACACAAGGCCAGCCGCTTTCTGTAAGCCCAAAGGAAACATTCATGTTGGCTGAATTCCAGAAAATCAATCCCATCATCACCCCCCCACCCCACCCACAGCCCTGCAGCAAAGGAGGAAACGTCTGTAATTGGGAGAGGCGACCTAACTCAGAGCCACCTTGTGGGGTGCTTGTCTTTGGCAGTTTTTGAGCTTAAAAAAAAAAAAAAAAGTGTTCCTACATTTCTGGAAAACTTTGCTCCAGAAGCTGCTGCAATTCAGCAGCCGTTCCCCTCCCCCACCTCCCATGTTTTCCCCTATCTGCTCAAAAAAGAGTCTTGGTCTTTTTTTTCCGGGGCTGAGAGGTTGGACAGATTTTGGGTCTGCTTGCAGCTACAGATAGTTTGTCTTCCACCAATCTTTCTGGCAGTGGTTGAGGCGTTGAGCTTCGGATTGTACCTTCCTGAGATTCTCCTGGAATTCCAGAACTCCATCCTCTCTGGAAGAGCCCTGCAGGATTCTTCACAGGCACTAGAATTGACCCTCTCTAGAATGGCTGCAGAAACGCAAAGGGGGAATTGGTAAGTGCTTGCTCTAGAATACCCACAAATTCCTTCAGTCCTGGAGACGAACCTCTCTTCTAGAAAAGACCAGGGACAACATCAGAAGGGGGAGTTGCCTGTACTTGGGGTGCAGCCATCTAGAAGTACTCTGGGTATGGGCTGGGAAGAGCAGGTAGGCATTGCCTTCTAGAACTGACATGGGCCTCTCTGGGCATTGCCAACCAACAGGGAAAGATCTTCTGCTGGCTCTAGAATGTCCAGACAGCTACAGAAAGCCCTCTTTTCTCTCCAAGCTGCCAGGCCTCTGGAGATGCATAAATGCTGGCCCAAGACTAATCAGCAATTCCAGGAAGTCTCCCTGCTGCTCAAGGCCCTGCCAGCGACTGGAGTGCAGACAAGTCTGCATTAATGCCCACCCACTCGGGCAGGAAGGCGGCCTCGGGCTTAAAGATCTTAAGGAAGTTGGAGTTAGGCAGGGTGAAGTTGGCCAGGTAGACAGTGTCTCCACCGGCCAGGTAGGCAGCCCAGAAACCAAAGGTCCCAATGGTCATGATGGTGTGGTTGCACTGCATGAGCAGTGCAAAGTCCTTCCCTGGCGAGCCCTCCTGCCCGTCGCCAGCAAAGATTACATCCCCCCGGGAGGCGTCAATGTTCTCCCGACACCAGGCCATGCCGTTGCTGACGACCACAAAGATGGGGGCTTCGTGCCGGGCCCGGAACCAGTCCATAGCCTGCTGGAGGTAAGTACGATCGCCCACCACACCCTTCCAGCGATGGGGCATGACTTGCAGGTAGTCCCCCCGGCGCACATGGACACCCACAAAAGTGCGAGGGCGGTCCCCCGTGCGGCCCAAGCGGAGCTGGCTCAGTAGACCCTGGGCCTCCTGCCGCAGGTGTTCGTGCAAGGTGAACTCGCGGCGGATCTGGGCGCGGAGATGGTGGAAGAAGGTCCAGGAGCAGGGGAAGCCCGTGAGCTTCAGAAAGGCATCCTCCAAGTGGGCATAGTCCTCTGACATCCAGTCATGCAGCTGCAGCTCCCGCCATGGCGTGTGACCGTCCACCTCGGGGGCCAGCACGGGCAGGGTGATGCGGAACACGGGGGCGAGGGTGGCGTGCATGGTGGGCAGGATGAACGCCTGGCGACCGTTGAGCTGGGCCAGGGCCAGCAGCGTGGCATACTGCCCCATCTGGTTACCGAAGCGGCCGTCTGGGTAGATGGTCCAGATTCCGGAGAGGGAGGCAGGGGGCTTGAGACAGGGAAAGGAGGTGTTGGGGGCCATCGGTGAGCCCGACAGACAGAAGATGGCCACGGGGGGTGTCAGGAGGCGGCGGTCTGGACACAGGGCAGTCAGGTCTAGGCCACTGTGGAACAGGTCTTGGTGGATGTGGAGGAAGAAGACGGCTGAAAGAACACAGACTAGCAGGAAGGTCAGACAGAGCTGCCGTCGGCTGGGGGCCCACATGGCTGCACAGGAGGAAAGGAGAATTAGCAGGTGCTCAGAGCCCGAGGACGAATGTCAGGGAGCAGAGGATGGGCGGGAGGAGGGCACTAAGGATTCAGACTCCTGGGTCCGAGGGAAGGGGAATCAGGGTCCTGGATCTGAGGGAGGAGAAGCAGGGGGCTTGGAATTTCAGGGGATGGGGATGGGAAATGGTGCTTTCCAAGATAGGGTCTAGGATCCAGCATCTCAACTCCACATCTTGGAATCTGGCTCCCCAGGCCCCGAAGGCCCACTGAAACTGGGCAATGTTGCACCAAGTCCCTTCTCAGGTGTACCTGGGTCGTGGGGGTGGGGTGGGGAGGAGATGGGCAGCCTCCACCTTGGAGGCGACAGGAAGAGACAGGCCAAGCAGAACAGGGGAGGCTGGGAATGGATGAGGGATCTTGGTTCCTGGAGGATCAGGAGTTGCGGGTGGGGTGGAGACTCCCGGGGTCCTAAGGGGCGAGAGGTTGGGGTGCAGTTCCTGGGTCCCAGGCATCCGCTAGTCCCACTCACCTGAGCTCCTGGCGGATGGCAGATCTGCAGTCGGCTTGGCGGGGCTGGAGCGCGCGGTCCTCAAGTGCAGCCCACATCCGCCCGCCCCCGGAACCCCGAACTCCAGGTCCCAAGGCTCACCAGCCCTCCCCTCCATGCCGCTTCTCCCGACTGGCTCCAAGGGCTCGGGGAAGAGAGAAAGGAGGTGGGCGCGGTTCCGAGGCTCGCAGCCTCCGCCCCTCCCGGGCGAGTCAGGTAGGTCCGAGGCGGAGCCCCGCCCCCGTCCGGACGCCCCAGGCTAGGGTGGTAGCCCCCGCCCCCTGCCCTGCCCAGACCCGGGACCCTGCGCCCTGCCCCCTCCTCCTCGGCCTCGGCCAGCCACAGGGCTCTCCAGGGCTGGCCTACCTGGCCACCAGCAGCGGTATCCTTCGGTGGACGTGGACTTCTAGCGCCCAGACGCAATGCTGGACCCAGGTGTTCGGGTCCATCGATTTCTCCCCCTTCTCCGGCGCCCGGGCTCACAGTCTGCCCCGGGTACCTGGATGGTCGGAGCCCGGCCACTCCCCGGCCGCTAGGGAGGACCCGGACAGCAGGCCCGGGCGGGGAGGAAGATCCTCCGCCCTCTGCCTCGTCCTCCCGGTGGAGGTGAAGAACCTGTTAGCCAGGCTGCTCCTGGAACGGATGGAAAACCTCCTCCAGCTCTCAGGGTCCCAGACGTGGGAGCCTCCGGCCGTAGGTGTCCCCGCGCCCAGCAAGGGCCTCTGATCCCCCAGGTCCGCGCAGTGCACCTGCAAATTCCAGAGTCGCGGCCCCCAGCCTCTCCTACAGACGGAGTGGTGGATCTGGCGCCTGACAGCTCCTTTCTAGACGGGCACCTCCCGGAGGCAGGCTCTCCCCCGGAGCACAGGAAGGAGCAAGCGGGAGTGGAAGCCAGTTTATCTTCCCAGCCTCCTGGTTGGGGTTCAAAAGGCTTCGCTCTGCAGCACACCTGAGGCTGTTCCCATCATCAAGGTGGCCCTACCCACCCCCACCCTCACCCTGGCCAGAGCAGGGTGACCGTGGGCATTCAATAAATCAAACTCAGGAATTTGACGTCACTCTCCAGAGATTGGACCCTAAATGTCTCCAGACCCAGGAGTCCGGCCCCCAGGCCTCCCCTTCCTCAGACGCG